TTTTAAGAGAAAAAAAAATTAAAAGACAAAAAGAGATTAAAATAATAATAAATAAAAAAAAAACGATATCCTGTCATAAAAGAGTGTAATATCACATAGAATATATATTGGTTAATTAGTTAAATATAATATATGAAAGTTTTTAATAAATTAATTATTTGATCTAATTTAATATAAAATATTTTTGAAAATTATAATACAATATAATATTTTATTAATCTCATATATATATATATATATGTTTATTTTTTCATGAAAAATTATGAATATTAATATTAAACAATGATGATGGTTTTTGTTGTAATAATATTTAAATTGTAATAATCTTCTAAATTATATAGTAAGCTCAATTACTAAAAATGAAATAAGTAAATTAATTTTCAACATACTAAAATGTCAAAATAGATAAATTTATTTAAAATATTAAATATATAACATTTTATATTTATATTTATATTTATTTGGCCCACGGGCTAACCCACTTTCAATTTGCAATCCGCGTGGATTGGTTCGTTTACGCCTGCATTTTTACGGGCCTAAAAATTAAATCTCAACCCTCTTTAAAAGGGGGGCCAACCCGACAGACTTAATTTATTTTGATAGCTCTAAATTGAAATCATATATAATTACGATATATAATACATTTTTTTTTATAGCACATCATCTAATTTTATGTAGCAAATAAATGATAGATAAAACGTGATAATTGCTTAATGATTTTTAAATATATTTATAAATACTTTTTGTTAAATTAGAATTTTGAAATTTCAAACAATTTTAGATAATATTTAATTATTTTTGTTGAATGTAGTCAATTTTTTAAAAATGTAATAAATATATAATAAATATATTTCTTATATAAGATAATGAATATTGTTATAATAAAAATTGAAAATAAAAAGATAGAAATAGTCTATAATCTAATTATATTTATCTAATGTATGCACAATGAATGGGCCCCAGCTATTTCTTATTAAAGGTTAAGTCGGGCTGGGTTTTCATTACGGGCCGGACTGGTTTTAAAATTGGGCCAGATTAATCCACTCAATTTGAAATCACGCTGGACCGACTCGAGACTCGACCCGACTAGATAATTTTCAATTTTATTTTTCTGATTTAAAAATTAAATTATATTTTTATTATTATTATTATTTTTTTTTTTGTAACCTTTTTCTTTTTAATAAATTTAGATTAATGGAAACGGTTGAGGAGTTGGAGTTAATAAGTATAGGAAGATGGTCGAAGTTATAAAGATAATGATGGTCGGTCCACATTTAATAAATTAGATGCTTAAATTTTAGAACTAGGGAATTAAAATTTAATAATTACTGTTGTTTTAATGATCGAATAACAAATAGCAAAAAGACACATATTTACATTGTTTACCTATTGACTATGTCCACGGGTACAAACGGAGAAAGGAGAACAGATTTATTTACAACGGTAAAATTATAAATTATAAATTTTATATTTCTATTTAAATAAACTAAGAAATAAAATCAGACGGACTCACTCCAATGCAAATCAAAAGCCCAATAATGCATACCGTTGGGTCACGGACGGCTCAACATGATTCTTTGTGTGCTTTTCTGGATTTGATTTGAAAATTTTTTATTTTTTGTTTTTTATTAAAATAATATTTGATGAATGTTTTGTAAAATATATATATATATATAATAAAAATTCAAAATTTAAAATTTGAGAGTTTTGCAGTAAAGAAATACATCCTCCTCTTTTTAAGGTTGAGTCCTGAATTTTAAGAGTATATTCATTTTTGCCAAGTCTTTGTATATAGTTTGGTTTTGATTCTTTATTTGATTTGATTTTTTTTTTTGTTTAAATAATAATTTTAATTTAATAAATACTTTGTAAGATAAAATATTGAATTTTTACAAAAGATATATTATCATTATTATGATTTTTATTATTTTATCTTAAAACATAAAAATAATATTTCATCTAACATATAAATTTATGTTCTTTTTTTTTTTTTTTTTTTTTCTGTGTTCAGTTAAATAGACATAAGTTTTAACAATGGATAAAGTATATACGGTAAATAAATAAGGTGTGTTTTTTTACATTTATATTTGTGTTTTTTTTTTTTTTGGATGAATATATTTTTTATATTATATATAAAAAATTGTATTAATAATATTTGTGTCAAATTATTGCCTAAAGTATAGTATTATATATTGTATTAATTTGTGTATATTGAATTTTTATTTTTTTTTAAGATACTTATTTGTGAGAAATTGTATACTACCCTAAATTAACAAACCCATAAATTTAAAAATGTAATATATTTTTTCAAAACATTTAAAAATGCAAGATAAAAAAAATATAAAAATAAATAGCACACTAGTCTATTTTTGTAAAAGATTCAACTACAATAATTACAAGATAGATCCTCAAGTTTAATGAGTTCTTGATAGCTTGAAAACTCATACATGGTAGGAATTATGGATACGTAATGGCCCGTCAAATTTCTTTAAAAAAATATTATATTTAATATTTTTTTTTTATTTAAAATATTTTATTAAAGATTTATTTGCTAGTTTCAACATTTTGTTTTCACTATATGTATCTATCACATCATATGTTTATCTTCTAATTTATACCTTGCATACAAATTTTGATTTTTTTTTTTTTTTTCATTTAAAACATCATAACAAATATATACTTATATCATATAAAGAAATTTTAATTAAAAGTTGTTACTATTATAAAAACACACTAAAACCCCGCTAAACAAAATACTTTTTAACTTTTAGTTAAATTACTAACATATTATTACAGATACAATTAATTTATATATAAAGTCAAATGACAAAATGTTAAAACCTTTTTATACTATAATTCATCTTCTATCATTCGCCACTCCATGATATTACTTCTTTTGAATGTCTATTTGGTTGTGTAGATTTTGTTCTTATCTCTTCGTATAAACGCTTTAAATTGAAACATCGTTCTTGTCTATGTTATATATTTTTCACCGTGTCTGAATTTTAAATCTCTTCTATCTCTGGTTCACATTCATTTCTACCTATCACGGCCTCTCTTATATCTTTATATTATTTCATAAAGACTCTGCGACACCATTTTCTTCTTCAGATTTTGTTTCAATTGAGGCTTTTGACCCACCTCCGATCTCATCTTTTGATGTTGATTTCGATTCGATGCCTGAATTGATTTTACCTCGTCGATCGCATCGAGTAAGTCATCCATCTACTTATCTACATGATTATCAATTCTAATCTGTTGTGGCCAAGTTATGTTTAAAGAGTTATAGGATTTGGAGAATAGTCATACATAAGATTTGATTGATCTGCTTCTAAATGAAAACACTTGTCGACTATAAATGAATTTTCGAGATTAAATTAAGATGGATACATTGTGTGTTACATGACTCGTTTAGTTGTAAAATGCTACTCACATAACTATGACCTTTATTATGAAGAGACTTTAGCTTATGTGGCGCGCCTTATTTCTTGTTTCCTAGCATAGTAAGAAGCAAATAGTTGTTTCTCGTTCCAACAGTTAATATGAATGTTGTGCCCTTACTACGCTACTTATTAGCTCTTATTGGCTTCGTTAGTTACTCGGTGATCTTGTGGTACCTCAGTAATCTTTATTGTTATAAATTGCGACAATATAAGTACTATTCAGATTTTGCAATAATGACGTTTTTCATGAGCGCACCAAACACATTGAGAAGCCTAAACAGTACTTCTTTCGTTTCATGAAATTATTCTCATTTTTTAAAAATAATAATTAACAATTAAAATTTTAAATTAAAAATTTAATTATATGTTATAATTGCTAACACTCATATCCCGTGATGGAACTAACTTCTTGACTCCACGGGGTAAAATTGTTCGATTAATTTTTATTTATTTTTGTACTATTCTATTTCAGTTTTAATATATTTCTAATGGTTAAGTTTTTATCAAATAATTATATATTTTTTTAGAATAAAAAGTTATATTCATTATATAATATATTTATAACTAAAATTATTATACTTCTATAATATTTTAAATTAAAATAATAAAATGAGAAATAAAATAGAATAAGTGATTTGGATTACTAGGGCAAAACTATACATAATTAGTTAAAGAAATACTTAAACTTTTTACTTAAAAAAATTGGGTTAGAGGCAGTTGGCCCCGGTCCCCGCCCCTACCTCCTTCCGTGTATAGGTAGACTTGATTTCAAATAAGAAAATTTTAATTTAAATAACTATTTAATATTGTATAAATAATTATTACTGTTATATTTTTAATGTTAAATTAATATTTATTTATTTCCAAATAAGTAAAATTGAAGGATTTTGTGTTAAAGAAATAAAAGAAATGGAAATAACAAAATATTTATATTTAATCTGTATCACTTAATTTGTTCATTTTTTTCATATCCGTTTATCCCACATAAATTATTTTTTTCCTTTTCTAAAATATAATTATACATTTTAGTTTCATTTTAAAATTTATAATTTATAATTTTTTATTTTAATTAAAATATTTAGTCATTTTAATTCTATTCTATAATTATTTTTACATACACTTCTTAATTACTTACTAATTACATGGTACTTAAAAACTTCAGTACTACAATTAAAGTTGACAAATTAGTTGGGACATAGGGAGTATTTAGATGGACAAAAAAGAAAGAAATGAATAATACTCCTACTGTCCCAAAATTATAGGAACATTTGGGATTGAAACGGTAATTAAGAAATAATAGTATTACGTTGATAGTGATGTAAAAATATTTTTAAAAAATCAAAATGTTCCCACTTTATATAATTATCATGAAAAAATATGAATAATTTTATAAAAAAATAAAAAATTTGTTATAAAAATAAAAATTATATTATTATTTTAAAACGGAATGACAAAATAAAAATGAAACAATTATTTTAGTACGAATAAAAAATATAATAAATTCTAAATTCGACTCACTATATACAGACAGAAGAGTACAAAGAGAAGACGGCAGATATGGGTAAAGGTGAAAACAAACGAACCTCCAAACTTCATCCACACCTCCAATGGCGGAATTCGCAACCGACGTACAAAACCTACATTAATTAATTAATTTCATTGCATCCTTCGAAACACACAAAAACATCCTTCCTTGTCCAAACCCCTGCTTGCATTCAACGCTACGTAATACTATAATCATACAGATCCCATACCCTTACCCTTACCCTTACCCATAAACCTTCAAGCTCAATTCCATGAAACTTCGTGCCCCCTTTTTCTTCAACAACCGTCTCTTCTCTTTGTCCGATTAATTCCATTCTCATTATTAAATTTAATTCCTTATTACCGAGGTAGTAATTAAGAAAAAAGGAAATGGATTCCGCCGCCCGCCGCCGCCTCCAAACCGTCGGAAACCACCTCATTGGCGGCGCCGCCGCCGACCGCCCGCCGGGTCTCCGTGCACAACCCGCCGCCGGCGAATTCTTTATCGGTACCAAAATTTGCCTCATTTTCTAGGGTTTCATTTATTTATTTATTTATTTATTTTCCCAATTTTCATTAAATGAAAGAGGCTTTTGTTGTGAACTTTTTTGTTCGGTGATTCATCCCAGATTTGTGATTATTTTTATTTTTATTTTTTAAATAATTAATAAAAAATTAAGTTAGAATTTCTTAATATTTTAATGAAAGTGTGTTCATCTAACAGAGGAGGGATACAGTGTACGGTTGCCTGAGAAATTGCAGACAGGGAAATGGAATGTTTACCGGTCGGAATCTGATCTTTCATTAATATTTTCGTAGATTCCTAGATTAATTAACATCGGATTCTTTTATCTGATTTTTCAATTTCCCAGGAATCGCCGATCCCCTCTGCAACTCGTGACTAAGTTTGTCGATCATCCAAACATTGCTACATTGCACGATAATTTCGTGTAAGAAAACCATTTCTGCAAATTCTCTTTCCTCGTCTTCGATCAAATAATTCAGTTCGAGAAAAATTAATATTTGATATGATATTTTGTCGATAAAAAATGGTGTAATTGATGTAAGATGTAGAAAGTGTTTGTGTAAACAGGGTCTTGTTGTCCTAATTAATGTTGTCGTGGCGCAGGCACGCCGTGGCGACCTATCGCGACTACAAATACTTGGGGTCGCGCGTTCGCAACGATGGAAGTGTCGGCGAGTAAGTTCTTACCGCGTCGATCGAATACTTTAGTTGTCGAGACATGGAGAAAGGCTCCAAATTCTTACATTGTTACTTTAGTTGTCGAGGCATCAAGAAAGGCTCCAAATTCTTACATTGTTTCTTTAGTGGTCGAGACATCGAGAAAGACTCCGAATTCTTACATTGTTACTTTAGTTGTTGAGACATCGAGAAAGGCTCCGAATTCTTACGTTGTTTTGTTGCGAAAGGTACGAATGGATGACGTATGGCGAAGCGGGGACTTCCCGATCAGCAATTGGATCGGGTCTCGTCAACTGCGGCATACCAAAGGCAATGCTCGACTCAAATAATTCGATAAATGCGTGCGATTCCGAAAATGCCATTAATTCGATTTAGTTGTTGTACCTCAGGGAAGCTGCGTGGGGTTGTACTTTATCAACCGGCCCGAGTGGGTAATCATTGATCATGCTTGCTCGGCGTATTCGTTCGTTTCGGTGCCTTTATACGACACACTAGGTCGGTGACGATGAAATCGTTGTCGACGTTTAGGTGTACGTCGATTTTTTCGCTCGCTAAAAATCAGTTTAATTTTACAGGTCCGGAAGCAGTGAAATACATCGCAAATCATGCCTCGATTACGACTATCTTTTGCATGCCGCAAACATTAAATATCGTAAGTTCACGACACGAATTTTTCCGACGCTATTCGTTATTTTCGTTTAAGTAATCGATACTGATTTGTCGCTCGTCTTGAAATGTAGCTTCTCGGGTTCTTATCCGAGATTCCATCCGTCAATTTGATTGTGGTACGTAAAACACGTCCGTGTTCATAATTTTAGCGACGAAAAAACACATAACCGACGATTTTGTTTCGTAGGTCGTTGGAGGCGTCGAAGATCAAATGCTGCCGTCCGCGACTCGAGTTAAGGTCATTCCGTATTCAAAACTACACGGCGAAGTAAGTTACTCATCGTTTCATTTAATTTTTTTCGCCAAAATATATGCGCAAACACAAATGCCCTAATCGAAAATTTACGTACTCCTTTAGGGCCTCGGAAGCCTACAACCTTTTCGCGTGCCGACACCCGATGATATTGCGACGATATGCTATACGAGTGGCACTACGGGAACTCCAAAGGTAATAACGTACAATAAAATTTCTCGGTTACGAAAGCCACAAATTGTTTCGATTTTATCTCTATTTTTTCGTTAGGGGGTCGTGTTAACGCATGGAAGTTTGATTGCCAATGCCGCCGGCATAAGCACCGGAATAAATTTGTATCCGTCGGATTGGTGAGTTCTACGCGATTATTTCAAGTTTCGCCTACTCTTACACTTTTGGCAACTTAAGTTTTCGTAATTTCCTCGTCAGTTACATATCGTATCTGCCATTGGCACACATATACGAGCGAGCTAACCAAATTGTGTTTGCTTATTACGGAGCCGCATCCGGATTTTATCAAGGGGTACTTACATTACTAAAGCATTCAAATTTCCGCATTCTCGATAAAAAAAAATTAAAATTAACGACATTTGTTCTTCCTTCAGGATCATTTAAAATTGCTCGAAGACATGGCTGTGCTAAAGCCCACCGTATTTTGCAGTGTTCCGCGAGTTTACAATCGAATTTATTCGGGGTAAAAATAGCGAAGTGCGATCTTACCAAATACATGTAATAACTTATGCAAAATTCGATTAAAAAGCGTTGTCTGTTGCAGAGTAATGAATGCTGTTAAGGCATCCGGCGTTCTTCGGGAGAGGCTGTTCAATGCCGCCTATAATGCGAAGAAGCAAGCAATATTCAACGGTAATTCGACAAACTCTCAAAAAATGAATCGACGATCGCAACGCCTTGTCTGAAATTTTAAAAATGCCTTTAGGGAAGAAATCATCGCCGATGTGGGACAGATTAGTGTTCAATAAGATTAAAGACAAGTTGGGAGGCCGCGTTCGATACATGGTCTCGGGGGCTTCTCCGTTGTCCCCCGAAGTCATGGACTTTTTACGAGTGTAAGTTATCTTTTACGTTAATGATAAAAAATTGAACTTGAATAGTAAAAAGTTAAATTTGATGTGATATAAATAAATGTTGATGTGATGTTTTGAATATAAAATAAATTTGTAATATACTATAAAAAAAAAATAATTATTTGTTGTGATATTTTTTAAAGAGAAAGAATTTGAAGAGTATGAATAGTAAAAATAAACAGTAAAATTCACGAAAGAACACAATCTAAATTTGCTGATTTTTGCTGTTAGATGCTTTGGCTGCATAATCGCGGAAGGTTACGGTATGACAGAGTCGTCATGTGTTATAAGTGGCATGGACGAATTCGACATTTTGTCCGGCCATGTCGGCGCGCCCAATCCGGCTTGTGGTAAGTTACGGAAAAATCGACCAGATTTATATTTTGAATGTAAAATTAACTGAAGTCCTTTTTCTGTAGAGATTAAGCTTGTCGATGTTCCCGAAATGAACTATACGTCGGAAGATAAACCTTATCCTCGCGGCGAGATTTGCGTTAGGGGCCCCATAGTGTTCCGAGGCTATTATAAAGACGAAGCGCAAACGTACGTTCTTATTTTTATTCGATTTTTTTTTTCTTTCTTTTTTTACTTTCTTTTAGCCAATCAAAGTTAAATGAAATTTCTTAGACGAGAAGTGATCGACGACGATGGATGGCTTCACACGGGAGATATAGGTTTGTGGTTTGACGGAGGCCGGTTGAAGATAATCGATCGGTAATTAACAAGAAGTGTAATTTTTTTTTCAACCATGGTAATTTTTTGAAGGAGTCGTAGTGTTGATGCGTACAATGTTATTTGTTTGTCATGAAATTGACAGGAAGAAGAACATATTCAAGTTAGCTCAAGGAGAGTACATTGCGCCCGAGAAAATAGAAAATGTATACGCGAAATGCGAGTTTGTTGCGCAATGCTTTATTTATGGTAAGAAAAAAACACGATCATGCGTTTGTATGTTGTGTTTTGGACACTAATCAATTCTATCTTGTCGATGTATGTCCGTAGGCGACAGCTTTAACTCTTCCCTCGTCGCCATTGTCGCCGTGGACCATGATGTCCTAAAAGCATGGGCTACGTCTCAAGGGATGGTGAGTTTTCTTTTGTAGTGATAAAACATTTCTTCGCCACCATTTTGAATCATTTGCGCTCTGTTTATATAGAAGTTTTTTACTTTTGAAATTTTTTTGAAAATAATAAAGAATTATCTACTACCTCCGTCCCATAACAATGACACTTTTTATATTCTTATATTTAAATAATTTACTTTACAAATATTATTGTATTTGTATTACAAGAGATAATAGATGTATATTTGTCATTTACTATTGATTTTATATAATAATTAATATTCAAATATCTATATACAAATAACTTAGGGTACTCTTGTTACTAGACAAATGTAGTATTTGATTTAATATTTTGTAAGTGAAAATAATATTTAATATAATTTTTTTAAAAGATATTATTGATGAATCGTATCAATTCTAATAGTATCTATTTCTTATTATTTATTTAAGATGATTTTTCCAATGTCTATCTCATCAAATATCTATTTTCTATGTAATTTTTTATATTTCCAGAACTTTTCAAAATTCCCAAAATACATTCAAAACATATCTAAATAAACCCTCGATTTCTCTTCAGAGTCAAGACATAAGCAAACTATGCGCCGATCCAAGGACAAGGGCAGCTGTCCTCGCTGAAATGAACGCCGTTGCAAGGGAAGCTCAGGTAATAAAATTTAGCGCGATGTCTAAATGGAGACAGTAGAAACACTTTTACGCCCGGCGAGAAAATAACAGCATGCGACTAATGTTTCAGCTCCGAGGTTTCGAATTCGCGAAGGCTGTAACTCTCGTGCCCGAACAGTTCACTTTGGAGAATGATTTGCTTACGCCAACGTTTAAGGTGAGTGCGAAAAATGTATTAACTTTAGAAGGTAAAATATGTTGCCGGTTTTAATGAGATCATATCAATTGATTTTTATTCGAATTTGCGACAGATTAAACGGCCGCAGGCGAAAGCATACTTCGCAAAAGCCATTGCCGATATGTATTCGGAGCTGTCGGAGTCGGATCCAACTGGCTTGAAGTTAGTGTGAAAGCATATTATTTTTTCTTACAAAATATCTTAAAATAAAATAATAAAATCAAACTTTAAAAGAATATATTCACCAAGGACAAGCCCACCCTTGCCCCACCCCTATCCCTATTTTAATAAGTATTTTTACTTATTTAAAAATATATATAATTCAATTATTTGATTTTTTTAATAAAATATTATAGAGAAAAAAAAATTAAAAAAAAAGTGCTGTTGAAATCATAAACAATCAATTTTGATCCCAATATAAATAATTTTAATCATTTTTTATACTGCAGTTAAAAAACTAACGGAAAATAATGACATAAACAACGGATTTAACGTGATAGATGATTTGGATCGAATACAGCTGTGTTCTACATTAAATATGACTGTGTGAGAGATTTAAACACACATTGAGAAGCTAAGACCGAGAAGATCGTCGGCCTTCTCCGGAAAATCGACCACGCTGGCGGCGACCTCTACGAGCACCCCACGCGGCAGATCATCAAGTACATCAAACTTCGTTAGTTCTTTTTACTGTAAAGTTAAAAATGATTTATATTGTGATCAAAACTGATTACTTTTTTATATTATAACTAACATAGATTATTTACGATTTAAACGGGACAATTTATTTTTTTCCAAATTATACTATTTTTTTATTTCAAAAGATATATATATATATATGTGAATATTTACGACATATAGTAACATATATAGTTATTGATATTGATGTAATTTATTAATGTATAATAAATAAAAATAAAATGTATTATTTTATAAAAAAAATTGTAAATTTTAAAAAATAATTACATTATTATTATTATTATTTTATAAAATATTATATATAAATAAAAATTCAAAAAAGAAAAATTAAAGCAAACAAATGGTTTTTTTAGCAAAAAAATGATCAACACATTTTCTAATAAAATAATTAATATATTAAACATTACTTATTTTTATATTACTTATACAATTTTCAATAACTCAACCAAAAAAAAAATCAAATCAAATCAAAACACAAAACAAACAAGCCCTCTATCCATCTATCCTTCATCTTTTTTCTAATATTATACTGATTAATACAAAATCAAACACTAGTCTGTTCATGGATTTGAGATTTAGGTTGTGTTTGTTTTCTATTTTACATACAAATTATTATTATTATTATTATTTTAAATATCATATGAAATATTATTTAAACTAAAATCAAATTAAAATCCAACTCAAATCAAAATCAAACAAAATTTTAAATTTTAAATTGAAATAATTATTTGGTATAATATTTTAAATGTAAAATTAATTTTAAAAATATGATATAAATTATAAAATAATAAAATAAATATTTAATTTATATTTTGTAGGAGAAAAAATTATTGAATAGTTATATTTTTGTGTTTGATTGTAATTTTTTTAAAAAAAATTAGATATTTTTATTAGTAATTGTGTTCGTTGAATAGTAGCATTTTTTTTTTTTCAGTAATGTAATATTATATAAAAAATAATATATTTTTATTTGTAACTGTGTGCTTTGAATAATAGTGTTTTCTATTTTAAATATATATAGTTACGGAACTAGCAGTAGAAGTTCGAGGGTGGTAAAATCGATATTTTTTTTATTGATTCAATGTTATTTTTTATTCATAGTACATTCTGGGAAAAAAAAATTAAATGTTTTAGAAGAAATTTCAATAAAATAACATAAAATTTAAAACTTTTTTTACTATGAAAAATAAAATTTAAAGACTAAATGTATAAATCAACTAACGGATAATATTTTTATGATTTTTTACATTACAAAATAAAAAATTAAAAGTGATAAATTACTATAAAATACATAATTTTATTATTATGTAACATTTAATGTAAATATAATTTCATCACGACACCCATATACAGTAATTTTATTTATTATTTTTTTTTAATAGAAATTGGATAACATATTAAAAAGTTTATATTTGAAGTAAATAGTCGCAATCATGTAACTTTTGGGGGCAATTCAATTTATAAATCTCTTTTCTTTTTATTGATAAAATTGAAATTCGCAGTCGCTGTTCGACGAATACATTCCGGGTAAACTCTGGTTAAACCTAATAACCTTCAAACTAGGTCTGATAATACCGAATCAAATCTCTTAATTAGTTACTAAAAGTGCATAAGATATTTTGATATTTTTACTATTTGATATTTTATGTATAAAAAGTAATTGTATATATAATACTCCCTCCGTCCATTTACAAAGTTAACATTTACTTTTGGCGCGGCGCGGTGTTTAAGAAATAATAGTATTTTAATTATAGTGAGTAGTTAAAAGTAGTGTAATGATATTTTTGCCCTTACTTTTTGTGTAAAAGTAATGATGTAATGTAAAGTAAGGGTATTTGTGGAAAAAACTAGAGTATTTAATGAAATGTTAACTTTGTAATTGGACGTCCCAAAATAGAAATACGTAAACATTGTAAGTGGACGGAGGGAGTAGTATATTTGTAATTTAAATAGAAGTCAATGATATTTTGATATTATTGTATTATTATTTTTATATAAATAAAAATTAAGTACTTTTGAATGAGACGTAAAAAAAAAATATTTTGAATTGAGACGGATAAAAATATTTGTTGGTTTTAATAAAATACTACCAAATATTTCTAATAAAAATCCAAAAACTTTCTCATGAAATATTTTAATAATACTATGATAGTTACTCAATAACTAATAACAAAATACTAAAAAAACAATACAAAATAGAATTATGACATTTTTTTTAGAGTAAAAAAAAAGTATAAAGTAAATGGGGCTAATTTAAATAATAATAATATCTTAATAATAATGAAAATAATATTTTAATAATATTCTGACAGTTACCTAATAACTAATAACCAAATACTCAAAAAACAATAAAAAGTATGATTTTGACATTTTTTTTTAAAGAAAAAAAAAATATAAAGTAAATGGGGCTAATTTTGAAGGTGCGTTTGGTTGTAATTTCTGATTGAAATTAATATTATTCACATGGTATATTTTTTAATTAAAATATATTATTTTGTCTTATGTAATAATTATTTCACAATAAAAGATATAAAAATAGTATTTTGTTCATTTTAATTTAAAGTATAATTTTTATTATTTTTGTGTCCCATTCAAAATTTTTTTTTTTTTATTTTAGTAAAAGTATTATACACTAATACAAAAATATTTTTAATTTTTACTTAAATCATTAACATATTATTACACATATAATTATTTTATATATAAAGTCAAAAGAAAAAATGTCAAAATCTCTTATATATTTTCATCTTAATGTACTACAAAATCCAAATGGATACATCGAAAAGGGGCGAAGCTATATGTTTTATTACTAAAAAAATAATGAGACTTTTTAAGTGATACACAAAAAGAAAGCATGCATAGATGGCAAAAATTAGTACTATTTAAACAAAAATTCAAATTAACATTTTTATGTAAAATAAAATGTTGATTGTAGTTTGAAATTAATTTAAAATAAAATGTTGATTAGAGTTTCTGTTTAAATAATATTTTGATGTGATATTTTGTGAGATAAAATAATGTATTTTTATTAAAAAAAAATGGTGTGTAAAAGCAATATTCTCTCCGGCCCTTAACAAACTATCTATTTTTTCATTTTAGTTAGTCCCATAACAAAATATTTATTTTATTTTTTAGTAATTGTCCTATATACCTAACATTACAAATACTCTTATAACTTACAATATATTACACAATGTCATTATTTTTATATCACACAATATTAATAAAATTATTTTAGTAATTTTTACTTTATTCATACTACATATCAATATAATAGTAATATATTTTAAACTTCATATAAAAGTAAATGAATACCTACTTATGAGACGACGGAAGTATTTTTTGACACAATTTTTCGTGAATATTATAAAAAAATACAATACATACACCCTCTCACATAATATATATACTATATTTATTCATCAAAAAAATCAACAATTCAAAACAAAATATTATTTTATATATTATCAATAGAATATTTCATACTTAATATAAATATATATATATATAATGAATATAATTTAATGTAATGTTTACAAAAATTGAAAATAATTATTTAATAGCCCTTCCATCCGCCTCTAATTATTACAGTTATTTTTTGCGTCATTTGTACTTAACATTAAAAAATTCTTACATATGTATAATTTTTTGTGCAAATGTCATTCTATTAGTATTATAAGACACTAATGAAAGTATTTTTTAAATTTTTTCTTAATTTGTACTACGTTTTGATATAATAATTAATATTCAAATATTAACGTGCAAAAAGTAAGTGAGATCCTTAAAGCTAGATGGAGGTAGTATGATAGTTTTTGATAAATCATTGTTAATCATATCGCTCTGTTTTTTCAACATTAATTTTCAACGGCCAAAGTCCGAACTCATGATTGGACATAAGCTGTTCGACTGAAAAGCTGATCTCCTTGTGATTTTCCAAAAGTAATAATAAATGTTGATTGACTCTATTTGTAGATAAATGGTTAAATAATATCGCATTCTATAAGCTTGAATTTTTAAGTGAGTTGATCATTTACTTTGTCTAACAATAAAAAACACATAATATTTTATACCAAAAAAAAAAAAATTAAAATACTTATTATAAAAAGTTAAAAAAAATCATATATTCAACCTAAAATAATATAATTTATATTTTTTATATAAGTTTTCATATCAAACATAAAAAAATTATTTCATCTTAAAACAGATGAACGAAACCAATATTACCACATCTTTAAAAAATAATTGTATGTAAATAAGTCATATTTTGTTTATTTTTTACTATTTTTTATTTGTAATTTTTATTATTTTGAGGTGAAATTTTTAATTGACATATATATATATATATATGTTTACACGATGCTTTTAAAGAAACTTTTTAAAATCGAATAATAAAGAATTTGGTAATTATATATATTACAAATAAGCAAATTAAGTTAGTACAAAACTTTATCCAATAACATTTTGTGTTTGTTTGGGGGTTTGGATTTTGAATTGGGATTTGAATAGTAAAAATTTTGAATTTGAATAGTTGTATGATGTGATATAAATAGGGTTTGATGTGATGTTTTGAATGTAAAATTGATTTTTAGTATAATATAAAAAATGAAAAATAGGTGTTTGATTTGATGTTTTTGGGGGGAAAAAATTGAATCAATAGTGAAAATCCGCCAAAATCCTTCAAGGGTGTGTTCGTTTGCAAGATTTTGCAAAATTCTTATTATTCATTCAATTTTTTCCCCCAAAAAACATCAAATCAAACACTTATTTTTCATTTTTTATATTATACTAAAAATTAATTTTACATTCAAAACATCACATCAACCCCTATTTATATCACATCATACAACTATTCAAATTCAAAATTTTTACTATTCAAATCCCAACTCAAAATCCAAACCCCCAAACAAACACACCCCAAACAAACACACCCTTAGTACATTTTCATTATCCATTAAAGTATAAATTTAATGTCCAAAAACTTTATCCAAAAACATTACTATGTTACTACAAATACATTTATTGTTCAAAACTTTTGCCAACAATATAATTACGCCACTTACTCATCCACTCAGGGTGTGTTTGTTTGGGGTTTGGATTTTGAGTTGATATTTGAATAGTAAAATATTTGAATTTGAATAATTGTATAATTTGATATAAATAGGTGTTGACATGATGTTGTGAATGTAAAATTAATTTTAATATAATATAAAAAAATAAAAATTAGATGTTTGATTTGATATTTTTTGGGAAAAAAAATTTGAATGAACAGTAAAAGTTTGGGAAAGTCTCCCAAACAAACACACGTGTTTGTGTTTTAACTATGATTAAAATATTCTGAAATACATATATTTTATCTGTTTCAATTCAAAGTACTCATTTTTATCGTATTTTAAAAAATAAAATAATATAGATAGACAGTGCTGACTGTACAATGACAAAACATTGTTATCTAAAATGCATTTTCCAAATCAAATGGAAAATTCTCTTTATTATTTTTGCACGATTTTATAGTGAATTCTCTCCACAAAATGTAATATTTCCTAAAATCTTTTTCAAAATTAAAAAGATTTCAATTATTTTTACCCCTCAATTAATGTATAAAGTAAATCCGATTCACAATAAAAATTTTAGCAAGTATTATATCAACTGCCAATATATATTATTATATTTATCTCACACCATTTTTCTCACTGTCACAAAAATTTCAGACCCGTCCGTACACACATACATACAAAATCTGTATCTATAACTCCTCCCAAATCGCCGCCACCACCGCCGCCGGAAATGGATAGCGCCGCCGGTTCGATGAAATCGAGGTTGACTCCGTACGTTTTCGCCTGTTGGATTCTCGCCGCCTTTGGAGGCCTTATGTTCGGCTATGACATTGGAATTTCAGGCAGACGTTCTTTCTGCTTAATAAATAAATATTTTTTAAAATTTTCGATTCGATTAAAATTATTTGATTTTATTCATTCCTGCAAAAGCTCTTTTTGTCAATAAACAAATATTTTTAAAGTTTTCGATTCGATTAAAATTATTCGATCTTATTAATGTTCGATTGGATTAACTTTGTTGTTCAGGTGGGGTAACGGGAATGGACGATTTCTTACAGAAGTTTTTTCCGCATATTTTGGAGAGGAAAAAACATGCGAATGAAAATAATTATTGCCGATACGATGATCAGTTATTACAGCTGTTCACTTCGTCTCTATACATCGCGGCTCTCGTCGCGAGTTTTTTCGCTTCCGGCGCCTGCACGGCGTTCGGAAGGAAACCTACGATTCTTACAGCCGCCGTGTTCTTTGTCTGCGGCGCCGCCCTTTGCGGCTTCGGACAAGCCCTCTGGATGCTCATCATCGGCCGGATTCTCTTCGGCTTCGGCGTCGGCTTTGGAAATGAGGTCCCATGTAGATATTTATTTATTATGGTTTTGATTTAAATTGCATTTTGTGTGGTTGATTATTATTTATATATGGCTTTATTAAAAAAAATTAATATGTATTTATTTTAAAAAATTAAAATACTACGCATATTTATTATCATTCTTATTAATCATATAATTTTATATATTTTATATAAAAAAAATTCAAACTAAACACAAAACAAATACACTCTTTATTTTTATGAATTTTTTTAAGATATTATTTTAAAAATACAAATGAATGAAATATATAAAAGTCATAGTTAAAAAATTACTATGGTGTATTTAGTTGTGATTTTAAACCAAAATCAAACATTTATTTACTCAGGTATGAATAAAAATATAATATTTTTTTCTCATATATTAAAATACTATTTAAATAAAAAATTAAAATAAATATTTAATTTCAAATAATTTCATCAAACCCACAAAATATTGGCTCTATTAATACACATTTATGATACTACTATTTATCAATTATTAAGGTTGTTTGATTTTAAAAAAAGCTTTTTATACATATTTTTTTCAAAAATATTAATATATTATACACTCATTATTTTTATATAACTTATGCAATTTTATAACATAAAAACAAAAAACTCTTCGAATCAAAACACAAAACAAACACACCATTTTTTTCACAAATATTATATTATATCTTCTTTTTTTAACAAAATATTATATATTTTTTACGGTCCCCAAATTTATATTAATTACTAATTTTGACAAATTTTAATAAATTAATATTTAATTATTATCTTTCAATCAATATTTATTTATAATAAATTTATAATTTTTTCGACATCGTAATGACACGTTATTGCAGGCTGTCCCGTTATTCTTGTCGGAGATAGCGCCGGTACATCAACGAGGCGCCGTAAACATCCTCTTCCAACTCTTCGTAACGATCGGGATTTTAATCGCAAACCTCATAAACTTCGTGACGGCGAAGATCCATCCCAACGGTTGGAGGATTTCGTTAGGCCTCGCGGCCGTTCCCGGAACGATTCTTCTAATCGGCTCCTTGATCATAACCGAAACGCCGCCGAGCCTCGTCCAAAGGAATAAAATGGACCAAGGAAAAAGCGCGCTGAAAAAAATTCGTGGGGTCGAGAACGTCGACTTTGAATTTCGACAAATCGTCGAGTCGTGCGAGCAAGCCCGACAGGTCAAGGACCCTTTTCGGAAATTGTTCCGAAAATCGGGTGTCCCGCCTTTGATCATATCAAACGTTATCCAAATATTTCAACAGCTTACCGGAATCAATGCTATTATGTTCTACGCCCCTGTCTTGTTTCAGACACTCGGGTTTCACTCCGACGCCTCGCTGCTGTCGTCGGTTATTACCGGGTTGGTTAATGTCGGATCGACTTTCGTCTCAATTTTTACTGTGGATAAAATTGGGAGAAGGTTGCTTCTTCTTGAGGCTTGCATTCAAATGTTGATCTCTCAGGTTTGTTTTCATTATTATTTTTTTAATAAGTTTTTATCGTATATATTATTTATTCTCATAAAATATCGTATTCAGTGACTGTTTTGTAGATTAGATTTATTGTAGTGATGTGCAATTGTTTAGTGAAAACTCGTATGAAAATAATTTATGTAGAAATTTTAAAAATTTTGAAAATAGTAAAAAATAAAATATTTGATGTAAAATTTTTTGAATTTGATAAGCCGTGCTAAGATTTCAATTAATCTTTTATGTAGATAAATAATTTTTATGAGTTTTTATAAAAATGTTCTATTTATATTTGTGGAATATTATAGGGTTTGTTTATTTTGTGTTTTGTTTTAAAAGGAAATTTGCTTATGTAAATTATAAGAAACTATAAGTAATATAAAAATAATGAATGTACGTAATATATTAAATTTTTTGAAAAAAATATGTTTATATCAATTTCTAGCAAAAAGAACACTATACTTATTCCTTTATTATAAACACATTGAATAAATTATTGTGAAAACTAAGTAGATTAAAATATCTGTTTAGATAGAAGTTTTAGAATTCTGAACAAAACGATCGAAGATGTTATGATATTTTGTAACAAAAAATTAATATTTGATATGATATTCTTTTGAAAAATCGTAAAAATATTTATGTAAACAGAAATAATCTTTATACTGCGTAGGTTGCGATTGGAGCTATCCTCCACGTACATTTAAAGGACACGGGGTCGTTAAACAAGGGGTGGGCACTGATCGTGGTCGTATTGGTTTGTTCATTTGTTATGTCGTTCGCGTGGTCTTGGGGGCCGATGGGGTGGCTAATCCCGAGCGAGATTTTCCCCGTCGAGACAAAGACGGCGGGATTTGCATTTGCCGTCAGCACCAACATGATCTTCACTTTCTTGATCGCACAGGCGTTTTTGTCGATGATGTGTCATCTCAAAGCTAATATTTTCTTTTTCTTTTCGGCGTGGATCGTGATAATGGGCCTCTTTGTTTTGTTCCTACTTCCCGAGACGAAAGATGTCCCGACGAACGAGATCGAGGAAAGGATTTGGAAGCCCCATCCTCTTTGGAGAAAGTTCTTTTGATGTAATGAAATTTGGGCTTAAGATGTTCTTATCTTTGTACTTCTGGTTGATTGTCTTAATATTGTTTTCGTGTTTTGGATTGTGTTTGGAGATTTTGAAACGGTTATGATTTTGTGAAATAAGATTTGTTATGCGTATCGGCTGTTGTGTTTTTGAAAATTTTACGTAATTTTGCAATATATGTAATAGGGATAGTCGATGTTGTATACTTCCTCCGTCCCAATAGAATATTCTTGCTTACCAGTTTTTATCTGTTTCAAAACAATAGTCTCATTTTAATAAATAATCACATCACTGTAAAACCACTTTTACTCTTTCGTTATTATCACTACTGTTTACACTACTAATATAATATTATTATTCTTTAAATCTCGTGTCAAACACTACTCAGACTATAATTCTGGGACGAGAGGAATATTATTTTTGGTGTTTAGATGCTATTGTTGTTAATTTATGGATTTTAATTGATAATTTTTTAAATATATATATATTGTTATTAAATAGAGTTTGAATTTTGGAAATTTATGTCGGCATTAGTAGTAGCATTGACCCAAATGACTTTTTCCAAAGAGGCCCTATTTTATTTGGGCTTCAAAATGGCCCAATAAGTTTGTAATATTTTTTTCCAAAAAAAAATAAAATATAAGGTATAGTTCGAATTAAATCGACAATATAAACAGAAAATGTGAAACCAAAAAAATACATATAAATTACTATCCAAATAAAAAAAGAAAAAATCAAAATAAAATAATAAAGATGAACTCTAAAAGAATATTCTCAAAACCTATGAGACTACCCGTACACTTCATTAGTAGAAGTATTTTTTAGGTGAATTTATTTTGGGTTTTATTTTATTTATTTTTTAATATTATATTATATTATATTTTTTCTTATTTGTAAAAAATATTGAGTAGAAAATTGGATGAGGGAGTGAGTAATTTTTTATTTTTTATTTTTCATCCCATCCTATAAACTAAAACAAAAGATAGAATGTTAATCGATGCTATGTCTATTATTTCTATTTCTATTTCTTTTTTTTTTTTTTAATGTGGAATCATCAAAATTTTATTATAAAAATATTTTATTTCATTTAATAATTATATTTAAATTACTTTTCTAATAAAACATTAAGATGAAAAATTATGTTAAATTAATTTTCCTTTTATATAATTTTGAATAAAAATAAATTATTTTCTTCGTATAATGCCCTATTAAATTTTTGATTTAAATCAAAAATCAAATTTAAAATATTACTTTTAAATTAAAATTAAACAAACACAAGCCAGTAAATTTTTAATAAAAATACACAATTTTTTTCTTGCAAATTATCATATGAAAATACTATTTAAATAAAAAATTTATTCAAAATTCTATTTCAAACCACAACTTAAAACTCCATTTCAAATTAATATCACATTAAATATTAATGAAAAAAAAAATCAAAACTCTCAAAGTGTGTTTTGTTAGGTATTTTTTATAAAGTAACCGGGGATACAATAATACTACTTACGTCTAGCTCTGCGAGTTCTATTTACTTTATTTTTTTTAAATATTAATTATTATATCAAAACGTAGTACAAATTAAAAAAAATTACAAAATATTTTTATTAGTGTCTTATAATACTAATACAATTATATTTGTACAAAAAACTTATACAAATATACGGATATTTTTAATGTTAAGTATTATAACGCAAAATATAAATGTGACTCTTAGAAGTGGACAGATGAATATATTTTTAAAAAAAATTGTAAAAAAATTGAATTTTATAAAATTGTCAAAATAATTGTCAAAAAAAAAAAAAAAAAAAACTCACAACTCTTATTTAAATTGAGTCTTATGCCTTTTTGCAATTATTTTTCTTGTATGAATGAATCAATGAATTCAAATTCCTAAAAAAGTATAAACATATGTTAGGGATGAGCTAATGATAAAAACCTCCCAATCATGTTTGACAATAAACCCATTTCATATTATATTAAATAATATATATAAATAAATAAATAAAACAATTTTATATTTATAAATATAGACTTCTTTTTCATTAAATAATTGAAAGCAACTCTATCCCACCAAAATATTTTTTTTATTTTTTTAAATAAAAAAAACAATAAAAAATGTTGATTGGTATTTTGTCCACAGCACATAGGCTTTTGGGATCTGATGACTTAAAAATACAAAATAATTATGTTCCTATCCCCACAAATAAATAATATTTTAATATATATGCCAGATGGTCTTGCTCCACTATCAAAATTAAATTAAATAATTTATAATATAATATAATTTATTTTATTTTATTTTATAATAAGTGGGTAAGGTCAAAATGATGCAGATTTCAACAGAATCTATAAAATATTTAATCAAATAGTACAAAGAGTATTAATTTGAATGCAAGTCTTAATTAATTATTTTTATTTAAATATTTGAATGGAAATATAATATTAATTTATGCATTCCCCCATACAAAGTGGTCATGGGACCCACTCTGCTTTTATTTTATTTTATTTTTTATTTTATAGATAAGATCATGTCAGTAGTAACAGTAAAAAAAATTTGTGAATTAAATTATTGCAACTAACCCCTTCTGAAATCTTTTATTGCTTTTTTGGACATTGTAAATTTTGCAGGCATGCCCCACTTGTTAGACTTTTTTATTTTTATATATATTTTTTTATTAATTTAGGAAAGGACTAATTTTCAATCTATTCCTATTTTATATTCTTATGCTTTATTGTACTTATTTTTTATTCATAAAATATATATATATATATTAAAGAAACGTACACAATTAAAATAATAATAATTAAATGCAGATCTAATAATGCTGTTTCAATTTTGTTTTTTTTAGGTATAAATAGTAATTAAATAAAAAAGATTATAATAATACTTTTAATATAAAATATTTTAATTATAATGGTCAGCATATATTTTATAATATAATAGTACATTTTTATTTAAAAATGATAGAAATTGTACCATAAAATATTGAAAAAAATAATCTCAAAAAATATAAACTAAACTTTGAGTAATTAATATTAATATATAATATTTAATTGACAGCTGTTAGGGCAATCGAATATTAAAATATTTATGCATTATAAAATACAATAAAATAAAATATACCTTGTTCAAATTTTGCAATAAAAAAACACCTTGGCTGTTGTGTTAAACAAATCTCAATAAATAATTTCTTTTAAAAATACACACACAGTCCATTCAATTAAAAAATTTGAATGAATACAAATCATTATATTGTATTTATATACATATTAAATGAAATTAAAAATAGGCCTATATTCTCCTTTAACATCTTTTGTTTTTGTTTTTTTTATCTTCTTTATTAAAAAAAAAAAAAAAATTACATAATTTTTTTTATAAAACTAATTATATCAAATTATTATTTAAATAGTACTCCCTCCGTCCCATATACGATGTCTGTTACACTGCGGACACGGTATTTTAGTAGGGGTGTAATTAGTAATAATTAAGAATGTATTAGTGAAAATAATTATTCTATAATATAAATAATTATAAATTAAGATTAAAATAACTAATTAGTTTAATTAAAAAGTTTAAAATGAGATTAAAGTGTGTAACTATTTTTTTAAAAAAAAAGTGACATAGAACGTGGGACGGACAAAATCGACAATGTGGACATAGTATGTGGAACGGATAGAGTATAAAACATAGATACGAAAAATCGTATCGCTGATATAATAAATAATATTCTATGTTAAATTATTAATTTTTATTAAGTATATATATCTTATACATATTGGTTTATTATATGTATATATTGTCATTCTTTTAATAATATTTATACAGAATTGTAGTATTTAAAAATACAATATGAACAGATTTATATATTTTTTTTTTATTTTTTTATTTTTTTTTTGTTTAAAAACTATTTTAGTATGATATTTTATTAAAAAAAATAATATATTTTTTATAAGCGACTATTGAACTGAATACTTACTATTGAAATTTGAAAAGAAACCAAATATTTGTCTTTTTGTAACTTTCTATTTCAGTACTATGAAATTTCATTTGCTTAAAGAAAATTACATCATTTGTTTATCATAAAATCTAAAATCAAATTACTATACAAATATAAAGTACAAACAAAATATTATTATTATATTTTTTTTTGGCTTGTTATTTTAAGTTTGATTCCAATATTTTCATTATATAACAATCCAAATTTCTTATAAATACATTGTATTCTTTCACAAAAATATAAACCTTAAAAAGGTTTGTTCATTTTTTAAAATTTGATAGTAAATTAAAAAATAATAATAGTATATTTTATTGGTTAAATAAAATATGTAAAAATAATATATTTTTCACAAAAAATATATTTTTTTTTGTACTTTTGTGTATACGTGTAATTGTATGTTTGTAATTTAATACTTATTTCATCCGCCTGTAAGGATCACATTTACCTTTTACGTCATTATACTTAACATAAAAAATATTCTTTAAGACATTAATTGAAATATTTTTGCAATTTCTTCTTAATTTATACTACATTTTGATATAATAATTAATATTCAAATATAAACGCGCAAAAAGTTAAAACTAGACGGATATAATACTATTTGTGTATTAATCGTACGATTAATTTTACTATAATAAAAAATTAATACTTTTAAGTGTGACAGATAAAAATAATAATAAAAAGATTAAATTGAAACAAAAAAAAAAAAAGTATTAATTATATGATATAAAATATCATATTTAATAATTATTTTACAGAATATAATAAGGGTCACACAAACCTGCTTGCCAGCCATGTTCAAGCTTTACATACACAAAGTAAGCATCATCTATTGCCCTCTAGATTATATTTTCACCAACCCACCAATTTAATTAAAATAAAAATAAAATTTTAATATATTATAATAATATTAAAAAAAATTAAATTAATTAAATAAAACCCCACATGAGGTTTAGTGTTTAATATTCCAATATGGGCATATTCCCCTATATATATTCAATTCATCTGCATCATCTAAATAATATAATAATAAGTCTGCATTTAATATTGAAATATATATATATATATGTATGTTACACTTTTATAATAATGCAAAATTTAAAATTACATTATTGTCTTCTTATTTAATTATTATC